ATCCTAATTATTTTTATCCGAATCAAATTTCAATTAAAGTTGCTATAAAATTATAAATATTCTAATTAGCCTATTAGGCTAATCAATTTTGATTTCTGAAGCTGTTAAGGCTCTCAATTTTTGTCTCTAAGTCGACAATTCTAACAGGTATTTCATAAACAAATAGATATTCACACTTAAGCATATAATTAAGCAAGTAAACTCACACAAATGAATATATAAAAATAATGCACGTGTTGGGGTCGTCACAGAAGGCATGGGTGAAGGTCTCTCAATATGCTTTACTCTATGTTTATGGACTTCCACCATTGGCCGCCCTCCCCTTTTAACTGATAAGCCGCTAGCTCCACTCGAAGTTCTCTGTCATAGATGTCTAGGATCTCAAATGACTTAATAATTTGTTCTAACTATTCATCCGCTTTCATTGGATAAGGTCCACCGCTGAAGTCCGCAGGGTTAGAATGGAAAAATTCCTTCTTTAAGAAGGAGACTCGAGTTTTCCCCTCAATTGTCCTCACCGCTTGCTTGGCTCGAAGTATTTCCATGGACTCACGAAGAACCCCTGCCATCTATCAGGCTAAAGCCCCCATTGCATCTTGGGTCGAAGGAACGACCACATCATTTTGTCCTACCCCTTCTTCTTGAGGAGGTAAATCTTGCTAAGCCGGCATATCTCGGCTACCTCTACGTGGCCTGCCATAACCTCTACCGCGTCCAGACATCCTATATAAAGGTAAGAAGGAAAGATTTAGCTCGCAATCCATACACTACATGTCGACTCACATGTCACACACGAGTTAAACACACACCTATATAGATACCTAGGTCACATAAAGCACACCACATAATCATAGAAACACATAGAGCACACACGAGTTATTCCCACAAGATCCCGACTAGTCCCATGGCACTAAAGGACCTCTTAGTGGAAAAAGCATTGATTAGGTGGCTTTCCAAAAGGATTTCGATGACTACAATAGACAAAAGTCATATCCCAAGAGATTAACTACATACCCACATAGTCACACAAACAGGTAAAACATGCAAAACAACTAACGTCCCTTGTTAACATGATAGCCCTATGTGGTAAAGCCACTTCCCACGAGCTCCTAGTGTTCAAACCCAATTTGCTTTGATACCAATTTGTAACGCCCTGACAAATGAACCTCTCTGCTTCCCTTTTTATCTGGGCATTACCAATACAAGATCAACAACAAAAAGAAAAAAAATAGTAAGTGATATAACATTAACCACATTCCTTCCCTTTTGAACTATTTCCACACTTTACAACATTATTTCAATACTTTTACAAACAAAATAAAATAGTTCAACAAGTAAGGAATGATACAACAAAATTAGCTGTTGTTCATCTTTTCCTCAAAATTTGATCCTTGTTACATCAAAATACATGTCTATACATAGTCACCCAAAAACTGTCCCTGGCATACGCATAATATGATTTCAAACACAAGATTTCACATCCTAAAAGTTTTCTTCAACTCAAAACATTCATTTAGGAGGCACTTCGTCATCATTCCTTATAATTGGTTAGTTTTGGGGTGAGCAAAAGTTTAGTAGGTAATGCACTTAACAGTTTATAACATTAATTGAAAACACATGATCATGCAATGCGACATTTGATAAATTTTATTATGTATATGTATAAATGCCTTTATGCATGAGTATGAGATGAGAAATATGTAGGAAGTTAACATTTCCTGAGTTCAGACGGAGCGGTAAATATACTATGACATTCCTAGTAAGAGCCGAAAGTCAAAATACATACAAAGATATAGGTTTGTATACTTAAAATAGTCCCACATTTGCTGATGCCAGAAATGGCGGGGCAATGGGCACCCATAAATATTTTTCCCTTCCACATTTGCCGACTTTAGAAACGGTGGCGACACGGACACCCAAAACCATGTTTTTCCATATTTGCCGACTCCAAAAATAGTGGCTGCGTGGACACCCAAAAATATTTTCCCACATTTTTCCAGCGATCTGTGCAGACAGGGCAATTGGGCACCTTAACTCCCCGCACTGGTACCAAATACAATACACAACTCAAAACCATCTTACTCACTACTCAGACTCATAGACTATTTACCCCCTTTTAGCTTTCCACTATTTGCACCATCCATTGAATCACAAAAGAAATTTAATAATGCATATGATGCATGAATTTGTAAAGACTCGTTTTCCCCCAAAATGATTCCAATGTACACAATTCATTATTTCACCTTTCAATAATAACAATGGTTCATTTAAAAATCATCACCAACACAAGGCGTATGTAGAAAAACATTTCAACCTCAAAGTTAAGCAATTACCTTCAATTTTCATGTTTTTGAAATCAATTAAGAGAAATCCATTTTTATTGAACAATTTGCAAAACTAGGGTTTATAATTAAATAATGAAATTAAATAAAATATCTATTAAAAATTAAATGATGAAATTAATAAAATATAAACAAAATTTTATAATAAAACATCACTAAAATATCTATAAAAAATTATTTAAAAAATTAAATAAATAAAACATCAATAAAAATTAAATAAAATTATTTTATTTTTAAACTGAGACATTTAAATTTTATTGAATTTTACTAAATATAATACATAATTAAATAGTAAAGGGTCAAAATGGTCATTTCACCACCTAATCTCATATCCTCCCATTTGTGTCCCTCCCCCCCTCCCCCTCCCAATGGGACATAATAGTCCAACATATTTGGGACTAATAGTCTGAAGAGACTAATAGTCCGGAGCAACAATTTTGAACCAAACAATGGACTATTAGTCCAAAGGGACTATTAGTCCAATCCCATGTCTCACTCCCTCAAAACAAACACCACCTTAGGGATTTTCCTTAATCTCATGAAATTCAAGCTCTTATTCATCACAAACAAAATTAGTCATCAATATTAAGCACAAATCCTTCAAAAACCTTGAAACATTTCTGACTTTTGTCCGACAACTCCTTCACTAACACAAATTAGTCTCTATATGTATATATCCACCTATATATATATATATATATACATACACATATATAATGAGTATCTGATGACATTACCACATATGAGTTCCAAATTAAAGGTATTACAAGTTAAAGACACCCCTACCTGAAGAGTGGAGGCTAAAGATGAGAATACATGTGAAACTCTGACGAAAAAGTGAAACAATCAGTAGATAACTTGGACTCGACTTACTCTTCATTTTCTTGGAGAATCTAAGGTGGATTTAAGGAAAAAATTGAAGAAATCAAGTGTTTGGGGTGTTAGGGTTTCGAAATGGATGCGTGAGTGAGAGAGAGAAAGAGAGCGCGCACAATTGAAAAAAGTGAGGAAAGAATGAGTTAGACCGATTTTTTAAGTGAGCTGCCCCGAATAGACTGCTCGAGCGATACTTCCATCGCTCGAGCGGTAAATGCGAGGTCCCATAAGTTTTGCAGAGCTATAGTGAAAATATTGGGAGCATGAAATTTATGCTCGAGCCACCGCTTTTCACCGCTCGAGTAGTCTCACTTGCAAAATGGCAAACTATTGAGAGCTAAGAATGTTCGCTCGTGTGACAAAATGATCACTCGAGCGGTCCGGCAAAAGCAACTGTCACAATAACTACCCCCAAAATTTTTAAACTATCTGCAATAAATAAATAGATTTTAGTTAACATAGAAAAATTGATTTTAAAGTTCGCATCTATGGTAAATTTTAAAATGAGACATGATTAAAACACAATTTTAAAAACTAGTATGGGTCAAAGTGTAAAATGTAAAACCTTCATAAAATGTTGGGCGAATTACACTAACAGTCCCTATAGTTTGGGGCTTGTGTCACTTTGGTCCTGAACTTTTCAATTGTGACACATTTGACCTTGAATTTTGAATCTTGTTTCAAATGAGGACAATTGAAGATACCATTGCTCAATTTTAAAGGCAAAATCGTCAAATTGATAAAATATAAATTAATTTGACAAAAATAAATGTCAAAAAAATATTTTTAAATTTTTAAAAATTATTTCTATCCACTAAAGATAAAATTATGTAAATTTGATAAATCTTTTAAACATTTATTTATTTATTTATTTTACCAAATTGATTTTTATTATGTGTTTGGATAATGATCATGTAATAGGTGGTTGTTTTCATTTTCATCAAATTAGTTTCTATTTTTCCGAAAGTTGAAAATGGCGACGACGTTGATATCATTATTAAACCAATCCATTAGATCAAAAAAATTCAAAACTAAAAACATTTCATATATTAAATATAACGATTACACATTAAAAGTCTAACAACCATCTATTACATAATCACATCCAAACACATAATAAAAATTAATTTGGTAAAAAAAAAAAGAAGTAAATATCTAAAAGATTTATTAATTTTACATAATTTTATCTTTGGTGAGTAGAAATAATTTTTAAAAATTCAAAAATATTTTTTTGACATATATTTTTGTCAAATTAGTTTATATTTTATCAAATTGACAATTTTGTCCTTGAAATTAAGTAATGATATCTTCAATTGTCCTTATTTGAAACAAGATTCAAAATTTAAGATCAAATATGTCACAATTATAAAGTCAGGGATCAAAGTAACACGAGTTTCAAACTATAAGAACTGTTAGTGCAATTCACCCTAAAATGTTATGGCCTTGTTTGGTTTACTTTTGAGAGAGTAGTTTTAGAGAATTTTTTTTAAAATTTTGTTTGATTTAGTGATTTTGGAAATTTTCAAAAGTACTTTCTCTTTCCTATACATTAATCAATATTTTTTTTTTCTGTCTTCTCTCTTCTTCACTTTTTCTCTTACACATATTCACTCAATTATAACAAAATATCAAATTATCTCAAACTCCCATACTCTAAAATTATTTTCAAAATATACAACCAAACAAACAAACAAAGTAAAAAAATTTCTAAAATCCCTGCGCAAATTTTTTTAAAAATTTATGTCCTAAAACAGAACCAAACACACCCTTTATATTCTCAGATTCAAAAAATCCCTAACCAAGAGAGAGAGGAGAGAGAGGAGGAGGAGGAGGAGGAGAAGAAGGAGCTGAAAGAGCCGTGGGTGGAGTTTTTGGAGACTTCGTCGAAGCATCAGTGATGGGAACTATGGATACTACGTTACAGGTTCACCATCAAATTCGATTTTATCAAGCTTTGTAACACCATGTGTTTTTCAATTTCTCTCTAATTGGTTTGTGATTTTCCTTTGAAAGCGAGGAGGTATAGATCAGTCCAACTTTTCTGAAACTATTGGTTCGATTTCTACACTTCACCATAACTATTAAGTTGAGTTTGATTTGATTTCACTTTGTTGTGTTTCTTGGTTCGATTTTTGTTGTTAATATTGATTGTAATTTCTGCACCTATTGGGTTTCCTGATCATCCACACACAGGTTTGGTTCTTGACTATTTTTATTTTATTTTTCGCTTCAAAATACTATTTATATTTCTTGAGAAAAGATTGTCTGCTTGTTAAGAGATTGACATTGGATTGAATCTGTGTTTCTGTTTCGTATTTGACAAGGTTTATAGTCACCTACATGTTGCAGGTATATATATACGTAAATTACTCTTTTCAAACCTAACAGAAACTAGGATTTGTCCTTCTTATGGCTTTGTGAGTTTGTCAACCAAGTGGATTGACCTTGGCCTCCCTCCTTGCAATAATATATATTTTGTTTAGTATTTTCTGTTTGAATCAAGCTTGCATTTTGAAATTGCTTAAAGGATTTCCTATGGCCTATGCTTTTGATTGAATATAAGTGAAAAGGGAAGGGGAATTTATGTCGTGTTTTTTCTTTCCTATGTTTGTTTAGTTATGGTACATTGAGTAGCCAAAGAGTTTTGGTCTCTATATTTCAAACTTGTCGTTTTAACCTCTAGCATAGCAACTAAAATTGACATGAACCAATTTTATAATGGATACCACATGCATGCCATCTACTTTTACCTTGTTCTGTTCTAAGTATATATTATTAGGACTCAAAAAAAAAATTAATAATAATAATAAAATTGATAATAGCATCAATAATTTTCTATGAATCAGATATACACTTAACTATTGTTTTATTTTTGCTAACGAGATTTGGAGAACTTGTCAGTCCTTAAATTTATTGTTCTTTTATTTTTAGTTATTGTTTAGTTGGTACTTGATACTCATAATTGTCATTTATGGTCTTTTATTTGAATTGCTTATTTATTTATTTATTTTTTATGCGTAAATTGTAGGAAATAGGATGATTGATAATATATATAGATATATATGTTTTTCCACTGTTTGTATTGCAGAGATCTCATTTTAAACTTTGTTTGAGGTATAATGATTCAATCTCCCTTGACAGTGTTTTAGTTATGATATTTTATCTTACTTTTTCATCATGACTTGCAATATTGTTTTGTCTTTTGACGTTGTTGGGGGGTAATACAACACTGAATAGTTTGTCTAGCCTTTGACTATTGTCTTGTGTTAAATATGTTTCTTAATTTATGTAACCATCCACTGTTTGAAGACAATTTCAAATTCTATACTTAATGTTAAATAAAACTCACAGTTTGTGCTAACCTCACCTCACTGAATTTTAGATAGTCTGAATGACATCACATAGTCTGAATCAGATTTTTCAGCACCAGATGTTCGTATGTTTGTATGTACAGATTCATGTAAAGACTGTGTAGTATGACTTGTTTCCACCAACACCCAACAAACAAACACACACGCACACGCACACCAAAAAAAGAGAGTATAACTTAATTTATTTTTTAAGCTTTTAATATAATAATTGCATATTAAATTAAACAAAGAAAAAAAGATTCATAACTTGACTTATTTTTTAAGCTTATATAATATGATAAATGTAGATTAAATTAAACAAAGAAAAGAAGATCCTATCCATTCATGACAGAGGTATACTGTCTCATTGGGTTCATGAGTTCCCAGTGAGGTTCTCGGACATAATTCTTAGAGTTTCTTTTGATTTCAAGTTAGCTGCAATTGTAAAGAAATATGGCTTTTAATTTGCAGGCGGTTGTTGGTGAATGGTCATCAAGTCTATTTCGGTTATGTATTGATCTTCACTGATGTCTCAATGTTCACAAGTATGTCCCATGACCTAGTCCATTAAATACTTCTTCTTCAAATGAGTATTGCTTTGGACAAAACAATTTACTTATTAATGTTGCCTCTAATAATACTACTAGCCAATGAGAGTCTTAAATCCAGCCATCTTGGGGTTGACTATATAAATCCATCAAGGCATATAGCTCAATATAGAACCATAAACTCGATTAACCTAAGAGTCTTAGCTGCAATTATGTACTTCTGCCTGCCTTTATCTACCCATGTTTGCTTTGCCTTCCTATTGTCTTCCACTTGGCACATTTATTGGTGTTTAATGCACATGTTTGACCATTTTAGATGATCTAATCCTAAGATCTTTACCTTCAATAAATTCTTGCAACCACATTTCTTCTTTTATTGCTTTGATCCATTTCCACACTGTGATTTTTGCTGCACTAATCTTAAATTAATGCTACTCCGAATAATAATTCTATTCTAAATTATATTAATCTTTTGATCCTCTACAAACTTGTTTTGCTCAACATATCTTGCTGACATGCCATAGACTTGGGCTTAAAATATACCAATCCAATAATCCAAACTCGAGTGCTTCCCCACTTAAAGGAGGTAGACTGCTCCTGGCTACTGCGTTGAGAAATTGTGATGCCAAGTGCAATTTTTTGTTTTCTTTCTTCGTTCATCATCTGCATGATAATTTGTTTCCTTTCTGTCTAGAAATTGCATCTCACTAGAAGATTTAAATGGTGTACACTTAGTTGTAGAGCACACTAAAAATCTTCTTTCTCTACCCCTTAAAAAGGAATTTTCTTAGTGCTCTTATATTGAATACAGGTAATCACATTGAATATAGGAGATGGACTACAAGAAAGAAGCATTGAATCGACTCAAGTTTAGGTAAAAGCCAACTGTATTATATGTAGAGCATAATACACTAAAAATTGTCCTTTAGAAACTCTTTATAGGTAAAAGCTCCCGGTTTTGAATCTAGAGCATAATTCTCGTTTATGAAAACTTGTCCTTTAAAAACTCTTTTTTTCGAACCTATTAACAGATTAAAATGCTTAAACGGTGCCGGATGTCAATGAAACTTCATTCACCCGACTAACTAGGCACAGATGACTTGTAGGAAACGATGAGACTCGAAATCGATTCCTGATTTTGAATCTAGAGCCTAATTTCTATTTATGAAGACTTGTCCTTAAGAAACTCTTTTTCTGAACCAAATGACACACTAAAATGGTCAAATGGCGTCGGATGTCAACGAAACTTGACACACACAACTAACTAGGTAGGCACAAATGACTTGTCAGAAAAGACGAGACTCAACCTCTTGACATTGATTATGTGTTCTTTGTTTTGTGTCATCTATATTGCCTTTTTGTTGTTAATCTCACATATGTTTCGTGTCTACTAGGATGACCTACTAGGGGTTGTTGTGTCTGTTTAAGCACAATTATTTGGCAAGATTTCTTGTTTTATGTTTATTCGATTGTTGTTAGATTGTAGTGGAATGTGTTCAATCAATACCTGATTTTAATAGTATTATTATCATTGTAGGATGTAATTAAGTTTCTTTGGATAGTTCATGTATACCAATAGTCCAATTGGCAAAGGGACTTCTTATTAGTGACGATCCGTTGTGTGAAATTGATAGAGTTCTAATTGGGCTCGAATATTGCAAAGTCTGTCTTAAAAGTGAAAAAGCCAAATGCTCGTTTTGAAACACCATCCTGAGATCTAAGAATAGTTGAAGAAGCTGTTGGAAGATATGTTGTGTCGCGCTCGATTCATGTATATGTTACAATCTTATTTATTTTTTGAAATAAATATCAAATGTTCTATATTTTTTTTTGTAAGCTTGAAATTAATTATATTGTATATAATTATTATTATTTTTTTGTTTCTTGTCTTCTCCTACAAGTCATTTGTGCCTTAATTAGTCAAGTGTGTCAAGTTTCATTGACATCCGACGTTGTTTGTGCATTTTAGTGTGTCAACCTGTTCGAAAACAAGTTTGTAAAGGACTTGTTTTTACAAACAAAAATTTGGTTCCAAATTTAAAACCGGGAATCAGTTTTAAATCCCGTCTTTTCCTGCTAGTCATTTGTGTCTAGTTAGTCATGTGTGTTAAGTTTCGTTGACATCCGATGTCGTTTGAACATTTTAGTGTGTCACAAGGTTCGGAAAAGGAGTTTTTAAAGAATAAGTTTTCATAAATGGAAATTAGGCTCTAGATTCAAAACCGCGAATCGGTTTTGAGTTTCGTCTTCTCCTACAAGTCATTTCTGCCTAGATAGTCTTGTGTGTCAAGTTTCATTGACATCTGACACAGTTTGAACATTTTAGTGAGTCAACCGATTCGAAAAAAGAGTTTGTAAAGAACAAGTTTTCATAAATGGAAATTAGGCTCTAGATTCGAAACCTGGAATCGGTTCTGAGTTCCTTCTGCTCCTACAAGTCATTTGTGCCTAGTTAATCATGTGTGTCAAGTTTCATTCACATCTGACACCGTTTGACCATTTTAGTGAGTCAACCAGTTCGGGAAAAAAGTTTTCAAAGAACAATTTTCTTTAATGGCAATTAGGCTCTAGATTCAAAACCGGGAATCGGTTTCATGTTCTGTCTTCTTCTACAAGTCATTTGTGCCTAGTTCATCGTGTGTGTCAAGTTTCGTTGACATCCGGTGCAATTTGACCATTTTAGTTAGTCAACCGGTTCGGGAAAGAAGTTTCTAAAGAACAAGTTTTTATAAATGGAAATTAGGCTCTACATTCAAAAACGGGAATCGGTTTTAAGTCATGTCTTCTCCTACAAGTCATTTGTGCCTGATTAGTCATATGTGTCAAGTTTCGTTGACATCCGACGCCGTTTGACCATTTTAGTGAGTCAACCGATTTGGAAAAAGAGTTTTTAAAGAACAAGTTTGTATAAACAGAAATTAGGCTCTAGATTCAAAACCGCGAATCGGTTTTGAGTTTTGTTTTCTCCTAGAAGTCATTTGTGCCTAGTTAGTCATGTGTGTCATGTTTCGTTGATATCCAACGCCGTTTGACCATTTTAGTGAGGCAACTGGTTTGGGAAAAAAATTTCTAAAGGACAATATTCTTAAATGAAAATTAGGCTCTAGATTCAAAACCATAAATCGGTTTTGAGTTCCATCTTCTTGTACAAGTCATTTCTGCCTAGTTAGTCGTGTGTGTCAAGTTTCATTGATATCTGACGCTGTTTGGTCACTTTAGTGAGTCAACCGGTTCGGGAAAAAAGTTTCTAAAGAACAATTTTCTTAAACGAAAATTAGTCTCTAGATTCAAAACCGAGAATTGGTTTCGAGTTCTGTCTTCTCCTACAAGTCATTTGTGCCTAGTTGGTCGTGTGTGTCAAGTTTAGTTGATATTTGACGCCGTTTGACCATTTTAGTGAGTCAACCTGTTCAAGAAAAATGTTTCTAAAGAACAATTTTCATAAACGGAAATTACGCTCTAGATACAAAACCGAAAATCGGTTTTGAGTTCCGTTTTCTCTTACAAGTCATTTGTGCCTAGTTCGTCGTATGTGTCAAGTTTCTTTGACATCCAATGTCGTTTGACCATTTTAGTAAGTCAACCGGTTCGGAAAAAATAAACGACATGTTTTCACAAATGACAAGTTTTCAACGTGTTTGAAAGTTTTTCCTCATCATCTGGTGGTGGTGTATGGGGGTTCTCATCGGCCTCATAATTCATAGGTTCACGATAGCCACTCAATGCATCCGGTACCTATGATATTCATGGTATTCTTTGTTAATCGTATTTATATTCAGTAATAGAATTTTGCTGAAATTAGATATTTATAAAACATAATTTATATCAAACCTATTTGTTGTGATTTCTGCTCCCTGCTTGGGACACGATAGCCAACATTTCATCTTTCATTTGCCGTATCTGTGTCGAAAGCTCAACTCGTATCTCCTCCCTCAATTCATCTCTAATCTCATCCATCAGCTCGTCTCACCTCCGTATGAACTTGCTTGATGATCTCAGCAACAGTTGATGACTGAGATCCTGATTGTGATGACTTATATGCATCTCCATACACCGTGCTCCAAGGCACATCCTTGCTGTAAGTACAACAATATCCATGGTTGTATTCACTGACCATGTCGTGGAAAACATTGTCTCGAGCATCTTCAGTAGTGCGGTAATCTTCAGGCAACATAGAGAGTTGGCGCTCAAAGTCATCATGTAAATTAAAATAACAAGTATATATGTAAATAATTAGATAGTTCAAACAAAATCAAATATAAATACAAATTTAAGGATTTGAAAATACCATGGTCTGCCTAACATCAGAGTCAGTTTGATTGCGTGCATATTTCCAAACACTCATTTTATCCATGGGCAACTCTTCAGCAATCATCTAAAAATTTAAAAATTATTTATTATCCAAGTAATTTACATGCATATTGATATTTACCTAAATAATATATACCTTTCTTTGAATCTGAGTGAATGAAGTACGTCCCATCATATGATTAATATAATGAAAGGAATGATTTCTAGCATTGTGGAATGCAATATCCTGTAAAGTTTTCATAAATGTAAGTCGAAAGTATACAAAGTTGTTAATTTTTCTAAAGCTATGTATTTCATAATTAACTTATTTTATATACCTCTAATTTCTTAGTCTTCCAATAATCAACAAGATCATACCACTGTTCTAGAACAACTTGCAGAGGCACCATGTCTTTTATATTAGGATGAGACTTAAAAGGCTTATAATACTTATTCTTGATCTTGCTTTTGTGATCCTTCCACTAGTCATTGCACTTTTTCAAGCAACGTGGTTTGCACCCCTCCAGACAAATTTCTAAATTATCTTACAGTACAATTTAAATCATTAATTCAATTAATAATATAATTAAACAATTTACTAAATATGCGTTTACCTTATCGTCTGCCCGTATTGACTCAAGAACATCAATAGCCACTTGGGTCCAATCAATGTACGTAAGAGAAACAATGTTCCCATTATGTACCATGAACTCAAGTTGGCTAGTTAACTTAGACATATTATCTCCCATAGGATTGAAGTCGACATCAAAATCAATGGGCAACTTCTTGCCCATAACCCAATCTTTAATGCCTTTTGTGAATCCTTGAACTCGGGTGAAAGATAAAGAAACTGTAGGGCATGCGAGGAACAATGAAAAAAAAAAAAAAAAAACACAAAAACTGAAAATTGATAATAAATAGCTTGTAATTGAATTAATGTAATTAAATACATAACCATTTGTTATACCTGAGGTGACTTGTAAATTAGTCGTTGGATTTAGAACACATTACAAGAATAAACAAATTATATAAGAATATAATAAACAACATATAAATTAAAGCATAAATTAAATGCATAACGTACTCTTGTACCTAAGGTGGGATGTGAAGAAGTCGTCGATCCCTAGTATATGAAATTACCCATATTATGTATAGTGAAAATGAAATAATTTAAATACATAACAAATTTGTATACCTCTGGTAGCCTGTGAAGACGATGTTGGTTGAGACAATTGTGATGATGGTGGTGGATGTATCGTGGCTGTGATGATGGTGGTGGCTGTATCAGTGGTTGTGATGGTGGTGGTGGCTGTATCGGTGGCTGTGCCGGTGGTGATTGTGTCTCCATACACAAAACAACAGCCATAGTGCGAGAGGGATGATTAAGCTTCCTCTTCCGTGCCATAACAATCTGTAAGAAATACAATTGAAAATATAGAGAATAGTTTGGAGTTAATAATGTAAATACAATACAAATATAATGAATAAATTAGAAACACATAAAATTGTTAAATAATGTAAAATGCTCAAATATGTAGTTCATTAAAGCATGACAATTTACTGTCTCATTATAGAATCTCAAAA